TCTCTCTCTCTCTCTCTCTCTCTCTCTCTCTCTGTCTCTCTCTCTGTGTCTCTCTGTGTGTCTCTCTGTGTGTCTCTCTCTCTCTCTCTCTCTCTCTCTCTCTCTCTCTCTCTCTCTCTGAGCAGATGAATGATGCTCCTTCCTGTTTCCACAGATAATAGCCAATCATCACATGCAGTCCATATCCTTTGCCTCCGGTGGAGATCCGGTAAGACTTTACAACATCACACCCCTGATTCATTCCTCAGCTGACACTCAGTCTCACCACACTTTATGGCAAATCTCAGAGCGCTCAGAAAAGGTGAATATCCAATAGAACGACTTCAGTGTTCCTGTGAATAAAAGAGCCATAATAAATATGTTTTAGTAGTGTTTTATCTTATTTGTAATGTTTATTACACCAAAACTTATCGATTTTTATCGATTATGTTCCACTAAATAAGCTTTTAACTAGCTACTGTACATTTAAGACTTGTTATGATTGCCTAGTTTCTGCATACTTCTTGTTTATCAGGTTGCTCAATATTGAATAGATGTTGATATGCAAATATGGCTGTTCATATGCTAATGAGCTCATAGATATGATATCATAATCATGACAATTTCACAAATTAGTAATTTTTAGTTTAGTAGATTTATTCCAGTCCTCATACACTGAATCCAAATAATTATATATAAATTTACATATTAACCCAAAAAAGCTGAAGCCTTTTAGCAGTTTTTAATGTTAATGTGGGCGGTCATGTTAATGAGATCATTGTTGTCATGTCATAATCATGATTATTTCTTGAATTGGTCTTTTTTTAGTATTTAATATCTAATGAGCTCATAGTTGTGATGTCGTAATCATGACAATGTCATGAATTAGTGATTTTTGAAATTTTAATATGTAAATGTAGGCGGTCATATATTAATGAGATCATAAATGTGATGTCATCATCATCCCAATTTCACAAATTAGTAATAGTGACAGTTTATAATGTGTAAATGTGGGCAGTCATGTGTTAATGAGCTCAGATGTGATGTCATGACAATTTCAAGAATGGGTCTTTTTTTTATTATGTGAATGTGGGCGGTCATATGTTAATGAGCTCATAGCGGTGATGTCAGTTATGTCAATTTCATAAATAAGTTATATTTGTAGTTTTTAATTTGTAAATGTGGGCAGTCATATGTTAATGAGCTCATAGTTGTGATGCCATAATCATGACAATGTCTTGAATGAGTTAGTTTTGTAAATGTATGTATGTAAATGTCATAATCGCGCCCATCTTCATGATCTGTGTTTTTAATGTGTAAATGTGGGTGGTCATATGTTAATGAGATGTGATGTCACCATCATGACAATTGACAAATGAGTCATTTTTGCAATCCAGTTTAAAAAAATAGAGGATGAATTGTGATTGTGATGAAAGTATGTAATGCATCAAACTCATTTCAAAAGAGCAAGAAATATCGTGTTTGCCGTTATATGGCTCCTTTAAAGAAACAGGCTCATAAAAGCATGTAGAAGTGGAATTAGCTCAGTTTAGGTTTGAATAATTTCCTGTGTCTTCTGTCAACAGGACACGACTGATTACGTCGCTTATGTGGCGAAAGATCCTGTTAACCGGAGAGGTATTATTCCCGTCTTTTCCTCTGCTGCATGCTCTGATGATCTGTGTGTCATTTTTTGGATGTTAAAATACTTTCTCATTTATATAAATAATCCTTTCTTGCACCATGTTACATTTTGAGAAGCCAGAAGCTGAAACAAATCCATCATTAAGATGTTTTAACTTTAATCCATTGCATCAATGTTCACCCACATGTTTGTTTAGAGCTGTTGTGGCTTGTAAACGGTGCTTGATCTGTGCAGATTTCTCTCCTGATTCAGACCAGTCCACTTTTTCAGAGGAAGAAGCGGGCTCGTATTTTAGCCAGAATCAGCCGTTTAAAGTTAAAATGTCTTAATGATGGATTTGTTTCTTACAAACACGCATCTTCTGGCTTCTCAAGACATTAACTGATGGGCTGGATTGGTGTGGATTACTTGTGGATTATTGTGATGTTTTTATCAGCTGTTTAGTCTCTCATTCTGACGGCACCCATTCACTGCAGAGAATTGTCATTTTTGTGTGAACTATACCTTTAAGAGAATAACACAGTGACTATGAAAACACTGCAGGGCCTGTAACTAATTTATCTGCAATACTAACCATAACAATTACATAACATGTTTTTGCTGGATGGTGCAGAATTGATGATGTTCTTGTTGGTCAACCACAGTTTTAGCTCTACGGCTCCTGAGGGCCAGTTCATTGTGTTTACCACGCTGGGCCGTCCTGTAACGGCACATTCACAGACAAGCGTGATTGATCAGTCCACCACAGCCGCATTTAGCATAAAAAAAATCAATTTCTGTGGTTGTTGTATCTCAGTCTCTTTTAATTTCATGGATCTTTTAACTTCCTGTCAGCGTAGAGGCCACTGTTTATTGTTTTAAAACTCTTGCTGTTCTTTCTAATGCATTTTTGATGTTGTCAGAGGAAAGATCTCGTAATGAACGCTTTACAGCGGAGTGAGTCAGCAAATTGGCATCCATTTCACCATCTGCTGATATCTAATACTTCAGCATGCGTGTGTGTCTTATGTTTGTGCACGTGTGTTTGTGTACCTGCATGTCAGACTTATTGATGCTTCATTTTTGTGTTTCATGTTTTTTAAAGGGGTCATATGATGTTGCTAAAAAGAACATTATTTTGTGTATTTGGTGTAATGAAATGTTTATGCGGTTTAAGGTTAAAAAAAAACATTATTTTCCACATACTGTACATTATTGTTTCTCCTTTATGCCCCACCTTTCTGAAACGCGTCGATTTTTACAAAGCTCATCGGTCTGAAAAGCGAGGTGTGCACTGATTGGCCAGCTATCCAGTGCGTTGTGATTGGCCGAATACCTCAAGCGTGTGACGGAAATGTTATGCCCCTTAACATACTGCGTTTCCATGTGTCCCGGCGTGACGAGACAAAAACATGAAAACCCGTTATAAACGAGGCATTCGTTGCATCCAGTGAGGACATAATTATGGATTATAATGACTTATACTGTCTTTTTACGCATTGCATCGCGCCGCGTAAACATAAAACCATGTCTGCATTTGTGATCGGAGAAATGACAAACAACAAGC